GGGGGGGGGGGGGGGGGAAGAGCAGACTTCACTGTCCATGACACATTTTTGTGGCTGTGAATTTGGTAATCCCCTAATATGGCAAGAAAACTTAGAGACAAGCAAAATGTAACCAAAGAACAAAAAAGTGAACTTACGTAAGAAGTAATCATAGGCAATAACAGAAAGAATGTTTGGTTTGGAAATAGGAAAACACAGCCGTTAGGGTCTTGCCTTGCCGCTCTACAGCTGCTCCCATCATTCTAGTCGCTCAAGGAGTTTCAGGAGATACAAAAGGTAGTGGATGGGTATTTTGATTCTTTCAAGGGATGCCCAAATTGCCTCAGACAAAGTATATTTGCCTCTTACTCCCTCTGAGCCTTCTCTCCAAACTCAAGCAGAATCACTGCTGTGCTCTGAAAACATTTTGCTGACCTCTGTTCCATACCATTTATTTCACGGCTATTGGTTGCCAGTAAAGACATTTGCCAACACTGGTCATGCTGTAGTACTTCTGCAGTATTCCCCGGACGTAGAATTGCAAGGAATTATAGTCACTCTACTGCTGCAGAGCGGTACCTATTATTAATAGCTTTTTTCATTATGATTGCTGTGCTTCTGTAACCTTTACCTTTTTCCCCCCAGCTAGGAGCAGCAGCAGAGATGCTGAAATATCACAAGAGATTGGTTACACTGTGGTTGCTACCCAACAAGAAGAAGGATCTTAGAAATCTTATAAGAAATCCTGTTCTAGGGAGATTTCTACTGCAGTTTCAGTCTAAAGAAGGTCTACTACTTTTTGATATGCTTGCCACAGGCATCAAATCATTTGGCTGCTCATTTGAACTGAACCCTCACATATTTGGAGAGTTCTCCATAATTCATCCTCTCAAACTTCATGAACCACCTAGGGAGATGTCTCTGTAAAACGAAGGGCAAAGTGTGGAGATATGTATTTTTCAGTTGTTTTTTGTCAAGGGGTTGGGATGAAAATGAGGTTGCTTTCATCCAAGTTGCCTGCAACCTTCATAGAGAGTGAAGACCTGACAACCAGAGACTGTATCGATGACCAGGGAAACTGATATTCTTAATCTTGATGGCTTATCTGCCTCTTTTCACTTCAGTCCCTGCAATCCCAGACACAGTCTCTCTTAAATGTCTGGACTATATTTCTGGTTCTTCAGGAGTATGAGTTCTGGGAGTCCCTTGGTTAGATTTTAAAAACAGGGTAAATAATAATCCACAAAAATGTCTACAAATTCTTAAAAGAAACAGCTTAAAAGAAAATGGCTAATTTTAATGGGGGGAAAAAAGAATAAGTCCTGCATGCCACCTTTATATATACAAATGTGCGTTTTTGAAGGCAAACACATGCATTTTTGTGGTCTGCTGTATTGTACACAATACGATAGTAGAATTACCATATTTTCCAAAGGGAGAATGGGATATTTCATGGGACTTGCCTGAACTACTTGCCCCATCCCTGCCTCCCATGCCTCACAAGGCTGTTGCTGGTCACTCCAATCCTGACTCCCCTCCCTGTGCTGGACTGACATCACTGCTTGTCCCCCGTTCTTATTCCTCTGTATTGCTCTCCACTTTTTTCACAACTGGCGTGAGCAAATGGTTCAAATGCCCACTTCCCCCCCCCCCAAAAAAAATCAAGACTTCTCAAATGGAAAAATGGGATGTATGATCACCCTACCCTGTAGCAGAGAGGTCTTAAGCTCATGGCCCATGGGCCATCTGTGGCTGGAGAATTTTTGCAATCTGGCCCAGTCCTGGCAGCCTGGGTGGGCATGTCCATCTCCAAGCAATCCCCCAAATTATGCCCCTTCCTACTACTATCTGCCTTCTCCCCCTCCCATTGCACTCCATCCCCTGAAGGACATAGTGTTGGGGATTACCCGGGGAGCCTGCCGTTAGACACTCCACATTCCTCACAGGAGGGAGAACCTCAGGGAAGTGGAGTGTGCTCACTTAGTTTATTCACCTGAGCATCTGCAGTTTATCAGTTTATGGCTGATAGCAGCTCCCAATGCCTGTGGTTCATTGTTCCCAGCCACTAGGAGCTACGGGAAGTGATGCAGGCCAGGCCACTGCTTCCGACAGCTCCCATTGGCCAGGAACATTGCACTGTGGCCACTGGGAGCTGTGGGGCTCTGTGCCTGTGGTTGCTCAGGTAAACAAACCATTTGGTGGCCACCAACAGCTAACTCTGACCAGCTGTGTGCAGCCAGGAGCTGGAGGTTCCCCACTTGGGATGAAGCCTTGTTTTTTACACTGATACCAACACAAGTTTCAGCTGGGTATGGTTCTTTACACTTTCCTTACCCTAAACTGCTTTTAGTGTATGTGGCTACCAGGTTCAGCCCCAAGACAGCTGTGCTTGTCGGTGGCAGGCACAACTCTTCTGTCTCTGGTCTGCAAAATGTTTTGGAGCTTTTGGGCATGAAAGGTGCTATATAAATGAAAGTTTTAATAATAAAATGTATGGAGACTAACAGACTCTCTCTGTTCATGACAGGATACAGAAACGAGAGGGGAAAAGCATGCGCACTTGGCTTCCTCAGCCATA